GGGATAATAGTGATAAAGTAGTGATTTTATTAAGTATTGAATACAAAAGAACATAATAATAATAATAATAATAACAATAATAATAATAATAATAATAATAATAATAACAACAACAATGCATATGTTACCATTTGTACAGTTCTATTCCGACCATTTGCGTATGTCTGCAACAAGAGAAATTCTGTCATGAAATCCGTGTTTGAAGTTCTTTGAACTGTAACTATGCAAACATGTCAGGATCAACATATTTTAGCTGTTTCAAATATCGTTAACATTGGCGTATTTAGCAAGGCGATAAACAGGATTTTAATACCGAAAATTAATTAGTGCGTGTGGTGGAATGGGAGGCCTGTATTATGTTCTTATGTGTTATTATGTTGAGTTAAGTGTGGGTTGTCACGCATAACTCTTCGAATAGAAGATTTTAAGCAGAATCTTCGTAAAAATGTCAAGAGTGAGGTTTCGCTGCTCTGTTCCGGAGATCATTAAGATATTTTAATTTGAGGGGTACTTTACGTGAAGCTTCTCAGACATTTTAAAACTTTTGTAAAAATGAATGCATTTTTGTAAGCTAGAACGGAAGAAAATGCATTTATAAAATGGGTTTACGTCCGATTTTCATTAAAGCAAAGTAAAGGAATTTCAAATTTATTTTCGAACTTTTTTTTCACCTCCAATATTAAAGACAGAGTATTCCTTCTCAATTTCATTTTCCTCTCAATTTTAGATGCTTAAATGATGTAAGGTATTTAAAAAAAGAGTGATTGTTAGTGTTGGTATACGGGCCGCCAAATTAATTCAAATTTGTCGCCACGCTTTTAACAGCTCAGTTTCGCCGCTCTTTGAAGGAATTTAAGAAGAAAAGATAGTCGCTTCGGAGATAGTCTAATCTTGGTCAAAAGCCGCGCGAATTCTTTTCCCATAGACCAAATACTCATTTTTATACAAAACTCTTTGTAATCAATTTTAACTGCTGCGAAAAATCACTAATGGGTTGCGTAGTTTCGCCGCTCTTTGAAGGAATTTAAGAAGAAAGGATAGTCGCTTCGGAGATAGTCTCTTGTTCAAAAACCGCGCGAATTTTTCCTCAATTGACCAAATACTCATTTTTATACAAAACTCTTTGAAATCAATTTTCAACTGCTGCGAAAAATCACTAATGGTTTGCACCACTTCCTGGGCGGCCACGACGAAAGAGTCGCCCACTGTCAGATTTCCTGGAATCAAATTTTTTCCACGACTGACGCGACGAGCTCACGTTGTTTGAAAACCGGAGGAGTCGCCACCATTTTTGTAGCGATCGCACCAAAGAGCTAAGCAATACGCATATGGGGCGCATTGCTTGGAGAGCTTGTGGTACGCTGGCAGCAAGCAATTATCGTGTAATTTCTATGAACCAGCGCTCTGAGACGCGGAGCGAAAAAGTAGAAAGCATGAATGACGTGAAATTCGTAACGAGAATGTTTAATTTCGTCCAGACAGAGAACTCTCTCGTCTGATGAGGACACAGAAGGCGATGCAAAAACCTTCTCGTTGCAGTTTCTGCTAATGCTCTCCCAAGTCATTTAAGCAATATTTCCCAGCCTTAACAACTAGTAAAAATAAGAGAAGATAAGTTTTGGTTTGGCGCAAGTTCCTATTAGTTTTAATTAATGGCGTCAAAAAAAAAATATTTTGTAACCAAGTGAGTAAGTATATTTTGACTATTGAAATGGAAGCACAGACCGGCTGTATAAGAAATATTTTTAGACATTTCGAATATGATTGGGAATACAAATAAAGTGTGTTTTCGGGTAAATTTACAGAAAGTGAACCCGGCCATATTAATAGCATCTCTTTTGAAGGGTTCTACAAAGGATTCACATGTCATTAAGATCTGAGTTTTCGAAAACAAATAATCAACCTACCGTATCCATTACCACAATTTTTTTCCTAGCATTCGTCTGCGAAGTGCACTGAATTAAGCACAAATCACGGACTTTTCTCTCGCGAGTATTTATTTGCACCGAAGACACATTGGCAATACAGTGAACTTGCAGATAACCTCTGCGAGCTTAAATAGCAAAAACTCTGAAATGCAACGTCTTAATCAATGCGAGGAATAATAAAGCTATCATGAAGAGTTGAAAATTATACCCTCCTTGTGCATAAATCTCTGAATGTTGAAGGGAAAATGATATGGTTTTCACAAAAAATTGTATTGCACGCATGATATGTGTACTATACTCTGGGAGATGAAGTATGCATTAATTTCCTCGTATTCTCATTCCACATGTACAGGTTTGTCGTAACTCTGAGTTCGACATCTGGGACTTGTTTTTTTTTCTCGTAACGAGAAACACAATAATATTAACAATAAGCACAGGTAGAGGAGATCCTATGATGTAGAAATTCTGGAAAGCTATTTAACTTTCACTTAATGATTTGTTATATTTAATTGGCGTCGAAAAGGCCTAAAACTATAGCAATCTCAGCTCTGTAGATCACGAGAACTGAATGACAAAGCCAATTGAGATGGGGTGCCAAATAATAGTGTCTGCTGGCCATCTGAGAGTAACAAAAATAAATGCACTGTAGGATTACCAGATAACTCAACGTAGCGTGCGATGTCAGAAACTGGGATCGTAGCCTAGCTGTTGCTTCATCACATCATCAAACAGATTTAGTTCCTTACGGCAAACGATTACTGATTTTACAAGTTCTTCTAAGTGAACATTTACTGCTACATAAACATGTGATATTCACCGTAGTTACTAGTGCAATAAAAGTTTCATATCGACGACGTTCCACTATAATAATAATAATGACAATAATAATAATAATGACAATAATAATAATAATGACAATAATAATAATGACAATAATAATAATGACAATAATAATAATGACATCACATCGAATTCAATGAATATTTGTTATCGCAGCCACCCAAACCCTCACGATAGTATGGTATCGAATGTGAAAAGTAGGTCGAAAACAGGGGTTCTTCCAGCCTATCAACAAAGATTCCTTTCGAGGGAGGTTCGAAAGAAAAAAAGAACCCTGGCGTTTGCTCAGTCAACACGCCGTATCACACAACACGGCCGTTATCCCTGGCTGGCGCCGCTTTATGACAGATGCTGCGAGGAGATGTTGGTCCAGGGCGACGCGCCGCGGTGTTTCCTGTGGGGAGACGCGGGCACTGCAAACACCGGCCGCCCATGTTTTCGCCGCGAATCGGTGCCATGCAGTTTCCTTTCAGTTTTTCTTTCTTTTTATTTATTTAACGTAAAAAACAGTTAAAACCATCATTCACATACTATGAGGAAAAGTGCAAAGTATACCGTAGCGGCTTATTTATTTTTATTTATTTAATATCGGAACAGTTAAAAAACTACGTGTTGCGTATTATAATTGTAACGTGTCGGGTTATTTATTTTTATTTAGTTAACGTCAAAACACAGTTTTAAAAAATCCGTGGGACGTACTACGAGAAGTGCAAGCGGATTACCGTTGTCATTTGACTCCTAGCAGTGGGACATCATTTAGACGACCCTGTTTAATCAAGTCGAAGGCTTTTAAGGTCGTGAAACACGGATTGTGTGTTTTATGCAATAGTATGCGTGATTTGCTTAGATATTAGCAGTGATAACTTATGAGTCTTTAAAGAAGTTGAAAGTTGTGAACACGTAGGACGGAAGACCAATTATTTCCGAGCGCGTCAACTGCTATAGTCATTAGTCCCGTAAGTGAGGTACATGTTACGCATTTGTTTATTGGTGATGGAGGAGTTCCATGCCCGTTAGAACGTGCAATTCCGCGCCGACCTGTAGGTCGGCTAACGTGTTTTCTTTCCAGGTATCTTTGCGAGCGGGGCTTCACACCAGACGGGAGAGCCTGTAAACTCCGCATATGTGGGATATACTAGGATTTATTTCACCGTGCTCTTGACGTAAATCAGCGTTCACGCTTTCACCCAATCGGGAGCTTGATCGACCATACAGTGAATCATTGCAGCGACATAGTATAAGCTCCCGATGAAACCGCAACAGCTGATTTACGTCAAGTGCATGACAAAAATAAATCTAACTATAGTGTAACTGTATGTAGTACATGTGTGTGTAAGGGGAGGAGGGATCAAGGAAGAGGAAGAAAAGATCGCGAAGGAATTGGGGGATTAGAAGCGTTGGTTGTAGTAACATACTGTACATCTCGATAGAAATAACGTTGGTTTCAAACATTGTGGTTTAAGGTGCTACAATGATTCAATAAAAACGATACGGCAATACAATGATTTGTGACAATTCACAACTTCGTTTCGAAGCAGCTGTATACATCTCGCATATGTACACGAAAGGGAAGCCAACAAAGAAACCTGTCTCAAGAAAAAGGCATACAAATATTTCAGATAAAGTTACTTACATATTTTTGATATTCCAATGTTGAAAATAGTTTTGATGTATCGTTAAATTATGAATACGATGTGACACAAGTCAAGCATTTTTTATAAATTCATTTACTGAATTCAGCAAAAAACAGGCAACATAATCTGCTTTTCTTCCCTTTCGCTTTTATTGTACTAAATCGTTCTCATGGAAGTGAAAACCCACAAATTTATGTATAAATGGCATAATTATTCACATCAGAAGTATAGTGAATTGGATCTTGTATTGGTCCCATTGTGGATCATCTAAAGTTTCAGGACTGAGAATGACTTACTGACTTACTCTCTCGCGATTACAAGCGCGATATGATATTTAACTTCCTTTATTTTATTTCAAGACACAGATTAAACATCAATTTGTAAGATGAAACGAATTAGACAAATAAATATTGACTTACGAATCTTTGAATGATGAAACCTCTAACCTAGTGTTGGGTATGTTACTGAAATTCCCCTTTCTTAAGTGTTGGAATTTTCCCTTCTCAGCGGAAGATGTAGGGTACCTTAAAAAAAGGTCACTTCTCACAATTGCGTAATTATAAATAATGGAATGTATTATTCGAAAACATTGACAAACGATCACATTGCTTAAGAGCCTAATAAAAAACACAATCTCAATCAAAGAACAGTTATTTTTAATTCTCTTGTATAGAAATTCCGTTCAGGGTTCTACATTATGTTAGAAGTGAGAAAAGAGCCATTTCCATATCTTGAACTGTTTGGGAGATGAATAGATGGACAAGTTGGTGTGACATTTGAAGATGAGAAAGAAAAAGCAACCTTTTATGCTTCTGAAGACTGAAGTTCTGATGTAACTTGCTAACACATTCACGCCTTCTTCGTCTTCTTCTTCTTGACAACATGTGATATATAGGCAGAGGTCTTGGCACACTCACCTGCAACAGAAAAGAGACACAAAGTTAAGCGATAATAGAAATGAATAATGCACAAATGAATAATGAATAATACTGCCTAAGATAAACGTCTCTTGTTGTTCAATCAATGAAACTGTGACATTTGCATACAAGAAATATCTTTATTGATAAGGGAAAAAAATCCAAACACTAAAAGAACATTAGAAGTAAAATGTTTAATTTCTAAAAAACAATAAGAATGGATGTTTTATTTTAATATGTAGTTTTTAATTAGTGTAATTAACATTTACATACATCACGGTAACAAGTAGCATGCACGTTATCCTTAAAAAAACACATAAAATACATAATAATATACTTCACTTCACAAATTTTATTATTGCTTCAACCTGACGCACTTCATCATAAAGGGACATCTGTAGATGTCATGGCAGTTTCTCTGACCGGAAGGTCCTGAGGGTCGAGACCCGACAGTGGCAGAATTTTCGACATTAGCTACACAGCTAGGTCGATTTCAGTCAGTTGCTGTCTAGAGGAGGATTCTAGTAGCCGGTTACTCTGACGGTAGTTTTCCGAAGTTTCGCCTATCAACTCTAGACGAATGCCGGAGCTGTTCCCTCACAAACGGGCTTCATACCGCACGCGATTTTTCCTTCCCCTTCCTCGTCCTATCCTCACCTCCCACTTATACACACCTACGCTTACATGCACTACACTAATATGCCGAGAGATCTGTGGGGATCTTAGAGCTTGTCAGGGTTGGGGTGGGAGACATTCTGTTACGGAAAACCCCTCAAGACGACGTGTGTCCGATCTCGTCTTTCAGTGGGAAATCACCACCACCTCTCGCAATAGACGCGTGTACTACACTTATGGAATTAATGACCTTAGCAGTTCACGCATAAGGAAACAGTAGTCATGACAAAGGGAGAGGATAACAAAACCCAACGAGAACAAGCTATCCATCAGCGTCATAATATTAGTCGGGAATAATGAGTAAATGAATCGAAGTTGTAGTTATGGTGAAACCGCTCCCCCACCCAAAGCTGCGCCCTAGGTCACATCTTGGTCGGTTATATGGAATCCGTGAGGAATAAAATTGTTCGCGGAAGGATCTCTCGGCGTTCTAAAGCTTCACTTGTCTCTCATTTCACCACTGTTCCATCACCATTCGAATCATATCACAACCCATCCATCGAGACCATTCATCTCAAATACGACCTCAAACACTTGTGATTGAGAATTATACAAAAGATTCAGGAATCGTATATCTAGTAATATAAATAAAGGTATATAAATAAATTTAGTTTTTACTGATATTTTATTGATTGTAATTGCATTTGATACGGATCTCAATATACGCTGCAAAACCTACCCGGATCGAGAGGATTGTGACTAGGGGAGAAAAGAAGCACAACGACATTACATGGGGAGGGAATTATGGAAGGGGAAATAAGAAAAGATAGATGAAAATAAAGATTTTACAAAACGAGTTAATATCTAGTTAATTAGTAAATAAGTAAATCTGAAACATTAATGTTAGATAAAAATAAAACGGATGTTAATATGTTCTAATGATCTCGGGTGACAAAATGCCCTTGAGGCAAAGGCCCTGGATTATTAGAACCCTCATAACGCCCTTGGCGCATAAATCTCTATCTGTGGGGAGAGGGACGGGAAGCGGACGGGGCAGAGGGTCAGGATGCGCGGCGAGCGACGTATCGGGAGAGCGGTCGTCAGGACATGGGGGCGGGCGCGGGTCGTGGAGTGAGGGGAAGACGGCGAACACAAGTGGTGTGGAACGGGTGGAGGGGCGAAGCGGTCGGGAGCACTTGGAGGCGGACGGGAGCGAATTCGGAGCGGATCGAGTAAATGACTGGGAGCGGGAGAGAGCGCTCGTCGTGAACGAGATGTGAGCCTATCGGGAGCGAGAGCGGGTCGTGAGCTGGCCGGAAGCGAATCGGAAGAAAATCGAGAGCGAGTCGTGAGAGCTTCGTGAGCGGGCCGGGAGCGGGGCGAGAGCGGGACGAAAGCCGGCGACAGGGGGGACGAAGAGCCGGCGACAGGGGGACGAGAGCCGGCGAGAGGCGGGACGAGACGAATTGGAAGCAATCGAGCGCGAGTCGTGAGAGTTCGTGAGCGGGGCGAGCGCGGGCCGGAGCGGGGGAGGGGGGCGAGAGCGGTGGAGCCGGGAAGGGGCGAGAGCGGGCGAGAAGGGCCGAGAGCGGTACGAGAGCGGGGCCGAGGCGTGTACGAGAGGGGCGAGAGCGGGGCGAGAGCCGGGGGAGGCGGGGCGGAGCTGGGCGGAGCGGGGCGAGAGCGGGGCGAGAGCCGGGCGAGAGCGGGCGGAGCGGGGCGAGAGGCCGGACGCGAGAGCGGGCCGAGACCGAGTAGCGGGAGACGGTTAGAGCGGGCGGCCCAGAGCGCGAGCGCGAGACGCGAGGGCCGACGTCAGGCGGGGCGAGAGGCGGCAGATGGGCGAGAGGCGAGAGGGGCAGAGCGGGCAGAGCAGCGGGCGAGGCGCGGCGGGCGAGACGGGCGAGCTTGGGCGGAGAGCGGGGATGAGCGGGCGGAGAGCGCGGGGAGAGCGGGGCGAGAGCGGGAGCGCAGGCAGAGCGCGGGCGAGAGCGGGGCGAGGAGCGGCGGCGCGAGGGGCGAGAGCGGGAGCGAGGACAGGTGGGAGAGGGGCGTGAGAGCGGGCGGAAGCGGGCGAGAGCGGGGCGAGAGGGCGCGAGCAGGAGGCGGGGGGAGAGCGGGCGAAGCGCGGGCGAGAGGAGGCAGGAGGCCGAGGCGAGGCCGGGAAGAAACGGGGCGGAGGGGAGGCGAGAAGCGGCAAAACGAGGCGAGGCGCGAGCAGATTAGCAGGGAAGCGACATTATGAAGAGCGAGGCCGAAAGTCGTTGGAGCAAATCGGCTTGCATGAGCGTATTCTCGCTCGGGACGAGGCGGGAGGCGTGGGCGGCGGGCGAGCCGGGCGGGCGCCGCGCCGGAAGGAGAGCCGCGATTCCCCAGGTATGCGGCACTAAAAAGAGGGCCGCGCCGCCGGCGCCGCTTTTTCGCTCCCCGCCCCTTCCACGCCCGCGCAGCGCCAGCGTCACACGCTGCTGGACGGCGGCCAGCCGCCGGCCGCCCGACCCGCGACGCTTCCCGCGCCCCCCGCCCCGGCCGAACGCACACGCGCCGTCACGCGCCGCCCTCATTATCCGCGGGCTAAACCTCAGACGTAGTGCCACTTCACACTCAGGTGTCCCACACGAAGTACAAGCGCATTAGCAGACAGATGCATTACATGCTCAGGTCGTTGAGACAGCAGGGAGAGGATTTCATGCGGTTTCCGGGTTCGTCGAAATACTTATGCGTCATAGTTTCCGTGATTGATGAATTGATTCGTGATTCCGAGGTACTTAGCATAACCGTTAGCGTAAGTGTTTTCCGCCTGGATGACAAGACCAGTGGCCGAGGCTACGTCGACTAGCGTGGTTTCCCCAACCGTTTGTCTCCACTGCGGGGGCACCGCTCCCAGTGGGACAAGCTTCTAACGTCCCCGGACCGGTCTTACAGGTAATGAGTGTACTGCATGCTAAGTGTACGTGTGATGTTAAGTCGGCGAACGGACTAGGGGCAAATAAAGGGAAGGAAGGTGCCGCTGCTGGTCTTCGGCTCGTTCGTGGGAGGGCACTTACCATGTCATAGAGGTCAAAAGGAAATGGCTTTTTAGTAGAATATTAAATGCAGAAAAAAATGAACGTATCGAGGCCGCAGAAACCGACGTTTAGCTCTGGACTTCGCGATTTTAGACTTATGAAATAATAGTGGAAACCACGATTAAAATTGAACATAACAGATAAATAATCCAGAATTTAACTGTAAAACATGGTGAATGTTAATCATTTCCCTCCGCTAGTCATACAACCTGGGACTCTTCTGTTTCCAAAAATATTATCGGTATTTCATGATAAACCAAAGTACATTTGGTTTCCCATATATTGGTTAAATTACCCAAGCAATGATTTTGCGCATTTTAACTGTTTTTACAGCTTCAGAAGGTAATTTTCTTCGCTAAAACAAGTGAGCAAATGAACAGTTAAGCAGATCACATAGAGTGATTGTTCAAGACGTACTTTAGGCGAAAAATGTAGGCAAAGCTCACACGGGGCACAATTCTTGGTATTTTAAAATGGTGGAGGGCAACATTAGTAAAAAGGTATCCATTTTTTGTTGTAATGTTGAATCTTTATGCAAAGGCATGGTTTTTGAAACTATCTTGAACATCACGCCATGGCGCTGATTTTCAAGCATATGGCCTTCCGACCTTCGCGACGTAACGTCAGGCAAAATCACGAAATGTGATTTGAGCGTAGAAAGCTCAAATTGCATGTCTAAGACGAAACCCCTAATCTTTAAAAGTAATATTATAAATGCGGTTGCAAGCGTTACGCGTGTTGCTGCTGGTTGAAGGTGGCGGGCAGGTTTTTTGACCCATCAATCTTAGAAAATTTAACAAGTATTCAGTCCTAAACTCCGTAATTCCATCTTCATCACATACGCCTTTTCGCATATCTTTTGTGTCGGCCATATTCTTGTATAACCGTTGACGCGTCATATTACTTAAAGCATTGAATGTAGAAGAGATTGCCAACAGAAATTTAAGGTCGACTTGCCACTAAACACGGGTGTGACTACATTCCGAAACCTATTTTGTTACAAAAACTCAACAACGACGCTCTCTTCTTGAAGTCTTTTATTTTACGTTAAGGTACGATCTCACATTGCCAGAGAACTACAAAATTGTGGAATGCAATTTAAATTTCATATTATCAACTCAAACATTTTTAAAATGTGTTTGCGCAATACATTAGAGATTTTTAACTCAATGAAGGTCCGATACGTCAAGATACTGAAATTTGTTGCCAAAGATAATATAATGAACTTTTATGAATACTCTAATAGACAATGCAACTAATAGAATGCAGATAAACTGGATACAAAGAAAAATCTATTTTTTTTATTTTTTTCAAATA